GCCCGCAAAGTAGCGGCCACCACGCGCTTTAAAGTGTCCCAATCCACTTGGAATCTAAACCTGTTGAATGGTAAGTCCCATTCGACAGTGAACAGCACCTTCAAAGGAAGCTTTTGAAAAAAAACCCTGGGACCGAAAGAAACCGAGATAGACAGGATGCGGCGAAGGCATGCTGATTACCCTCCCGGGGACTTCCGCGTGGCCTGCAGCGGCCGAAGCGCTGTGCTTCCAGCCGCGTCTCGTGTTCCCCGTTCTCAAGGCTATGAATTAGCCTTGAGATCTACAATGGCAAATCATGAAAATGTGAATCAAGACGGCTTCTTTCTCCCCCAAGGAGTTCCACAAACAACATTTCTTCAGTTTTCGGGTGGTTTCCACGCTTTCTAGAGCCTTTCTCTTCGAGTGGGAGCCCACTTTGAATAACTTGCCCAGACTCGAGAACTTCTCCTCCTTTTTATTTTCTCCACACGTGAAGTAAAGTCTAATTCCCTTATTCTGTACGGTCCTATCATTCAGGAAAAACGTATATTTCGATAGTAGTGGCAGTGATCACAATAATGCTCTCGCACGAGGACAGCTAATGTTTTGTCTGTGCTTCTTAAGAGCCACAGTCTTTGCTAAATGATTTTTATGTGTTATCTCTTTGCAGCCTCACTAAATCATGTGAGATCAATTTCGCAGGTGTTCCCGTTTTACAAAGGCAGACACCGCAGCATAAAGAGCAGTCAGACTCCATCCAGCTCAGAAGCCTGTGCCTTTAATCAATGTGCTATAAATCCCCCTTTATGGCTAAACAAATGTGACATTTAGGTTGGGGACACATCGGTGAGTGGCATGTTGGGGCTGGACAAATCCCTCAGCCTCTGCCCTCTTACAGAATAGAATCAAATGGCAAAGAAGGGAAAATGACTTGCATCAAATCTACAGATTAGCGGTGTTGAAGGTGAATGGGTGCTGGTACGCAGAGCATTCTTTTTCTTCCTTTTTAATGTTTATTTTATTTATTTTTGAGAGAGAAAGACCGAGCGTGGGCCAGGGAGGGGAAGAGAGAGAGGGAGACACAGAATTTGAAGCAGGCTCCAGGCTCTCAGCTGTCAGCATAGAGCCTGGCGTGAGGCTCGAACCGACGGACCGTGAGATCATGACCTGAGCCAAAGTCAGACGCTTAACTGACTGAGCCGCCCAGTTGCCCCGGTACACAGAGCATTCTTAACGTATGGAAACTTTGAGGCTCAGCAGACCTTTGTCACCTAGACTGGGTGCATAAGGCCATGAGAACTGACAGATTTGGAGCTAGCAGCCACAAAAAGGCCCAGTGAACTTCATCTGTTTATTTGCTTCATTCCAGTTCCAGAAAAGAGAAAAAATAAAGATTACCCAAGAAATATTTCCCTTTCTCTCTCGTAGAGTCAGACACAATGTTTACCATAGACAATCAAGTGTGTTTTAAGACCAGATATTGTGTAGATTTCCACATCTAGATATTTCCACATCTAGGAATATTTGTTTTCTTGTGAGAAAAATAAGGGGTGTTTATTGCTTTCTGTGACTGAAATCCTCTGATATATTTTTACACGTATTAGGCCCTCATTAAGTACTTGTTGAGCAAGACGAAATAATTGTGAAAGTGATATAAACTTTAATAATTCTATTAAAGAGTAAATAGCTGTTAAAGGATATTTACTCCAGTTCCTTCAGTGATTTGTTTTTTTAATGTTATTTATTTATTTTTGAGTGAGAGAGAGTGTGAGCGGGGAGGGGGCTGAGAAAGAGGGAGACAGAGAATTGTAAGCAGGCTCTGCACTGTCTGCACAGAGCTTGAAGCGGGGCTTGAACTCATGACCTGCGAGATCATGACCTGAACCGAAACCAAGAGTGAGATGCTTATCCAACTGCGTCACCCAGGCACCCCTCCTTCACTGATTTAAATAAGTTAATATTCAACAGGTTTTATTTTCTAACATTTTTAGACCTGGCTTTGTTTCATCTTCGATGTAAAGGTATAATTATGTCTGCCAAATCATAGTTCAAGGGCATTGCTAAGCTAGATGTTGACTCTTCAAACTCTCCAACCATTAGTATTGCAGAGTAGAGGCTAACAGGAAATCAGATTTGAATGGAGATTAAGCAGTGTTATTAGAAAGTACGTATTTAAGTACGTTCTGGGTTTCTGAAATCCTGCGACATTTGCCAGTTTATAGGAGACAGGTTTGATCTCCGGTCTCATTGGCTTTATCTTGATTCTTTTCATATTTGTTGTACCAATTCCCTACTATCCTTAATCCCATTAATTTCTATATTAATCACAACACAACTTTAATACAGGTGCATAAGCTCTAACATGAAAGTGACACCAAGTTTATCATTTTTCAAAAATGTTACTTTAATATGTATTCTGAGAATTACTACATGAGTTTCACTTCTCTGAGATTTTACTGAAATCATGAACTCATAACTCTCCATAACTCTCGCCAAAGGAATTAATAGAGTTGAATAAGAGATTTCGTTCCGTACAGTGTATTTATTTTATTCTGTATTGTCATTTTGAAAATGTGACTTGACATGTTCAAGTTAGGCCAGAATACACTACCGTTTCTCTTCAAAAGTCTTCTACAAGGTGCCTTTGAAACTCAGAAGGGAACCACGTATCTATAGAAACTTAGCTTTTGGTGTCCAAGGACCACATTTCAGACACTTTCAAATAGAATTCTATTGCCGTATTTGCTAATAGAGTTACGTTTATAGGATTAAAAATACAATTTCACCCTTATACCTACGTTCACATGTGCTGGTCGTCCCGTGTTCTGAGTCTGATTATATAAATACGGTACAATCATCAGGAAATTTTTCAGAAGGTGCCGCTTTTCAGACAATTCATACTGTAAAGTGCACAGGCTCACAATACACGACATACACAGATAAGAAGGTAATACAATTTGGAGTGGATCGCTCTTAGGATGTGAATTTGGATCCTCATCTTGAACACGTGGAAATGCACATGCAAACCGCACACACATCTTTCCACCCTCCAGTTTTGGTCGGAAGATAGAATTAAGGGTGGTTGGGTTGGGAGAGAGAAGGGGAGGAAGTAAAATCATGTCCCTTTTGGGGACATGTACAAAATACAATCACAAGAAACAAAACTGAAGATCGAGGGAGCACGTTGCTATGTGAGTTACCTGAGAGGATGTGTCACACTGTATGAGTCTGAAGTCTACCAGCCTGCATGTCCCCTGCAGTCAGGAAACTGGGTTCCCCGCTGGGCATCCCCAGGGCGCAGAGCAGTGTGAGGGCTGCTGCTGGTTGCTGACACCGTGTGTGGATGGAAGGAATGGATAAATGTATGAGTCAGCCATTGAAAAGTGGATAGCAACGTAGGTCTGAAAACTCTTCCCTGGGTTTTTTTCTTCCTTCATGTTTTCTCTGGCTGGACAGTGACTTGGTAATCATAAGGTCAGGACATGAGTGATGGCAGAGAAGGCTATAGTCTTACTCGGTGACACAGGATTCAAATGAGAAGAACCACACGTTGTAGCAGAACGCTTGTTACAGGAGTGACTTTCTTCTTTGGCTACTTTTCAGGGATAATATGGATTTTAATCTCTGATACCTGAGTATGATGAATTAACACCACATAACAATAATGTGGCCACTCCCATGAGCCTCTCTGCTTTCATCCTCTGTTTCTAGTTGGTGTTTATGTACGTGGGTACTTCATGTAATGGATTTCTCCTGTGATCATGGGAAATCTGCTAATAAGTCCAGTGGCACACCACTTGCATTGAGAAATATAATCAGTTTGTATTAACGTGTACATTCAAGCCTTCACTTAAACCTCAGGGGATTGTGACTTACACTTGTTCTTCTCCGGTCATATCTGAATCCAAGTCTTAGCTTGGACAATTCAGGGTGTATATTGATGTAGACAATTTTATATGTAGATAATATGGATTAAATAGTTGATAAGTAATGTGAAGCATACATCTATCTTTTACCAGCTCTCCATCCACCTACCAATGTAGGCATCTGTCTTTTTATCCAGCATCTAAGTCGTGCTTAAATCCAAAATACATTTAACTTATGCTGAAACGAAGTCTCTTGTTCAACTATATCTGGGCATCTGAACAGCCTCTTTTGGCATTTTATAAATACTAAAAATGTTTCTGAAATAAGCAAAAAAAAAAGCCCCTGTAGGTTCAAGCTGAAAAATCACATTTTAGTATGTTTCTATAGCGAAAGTAAAATTAATATTCATGAAAAAACACTTCAGACTTAAAGTTTACAGAAATCCGAAAAGAAGTACACACTTGTATATCATTAATGCTAAAATGACTTGAGAATTACCCCATTTACAATATTAAATGTAAACATGACTAAGCAGCTTACATAATTATGTGAATGATGCTCATTTAGTTGTAATATAAATTTATTGACGTTCTGGGGCACGTGGGTGGCTCAGTCAAGCGTCCAACTTCGGCTCAGGTCATGAGCTCACGGTTCGTGGGTTCAAGCCCCACGTCGGGCTCTGCACTGACAGCTCAGAGCCCAGAGCCCGCTTCGGATTCTGTGTCTCCCTCGCTCTCTGCCCCTCTCCCACCTGTGCTCAGTCTCTCAAAAATAAATAAATGTAAAAAATGTTTTCTTAATTTATTGACATTTTAACTTTGCAGACTTCCCTCTAAATATACCAGGTAATATTTTCTAAAAAATGTGAGGTGAGATTTTTGAGACAAATACATGAATGAAACAGACATAAAGACGCAGAAGGCTCCTTCCTTCCTTTGTTCGTCACCTCTGCTGTGATGCAATTTGCCAGCAGGTTGTTCACAGGAACGCACTTCCTCTCTCAGCTTCCCGTGGCCCACTTCCTAAGGTGTTGGTGATAATGATCTGCGCACGAGGGCACTTACCCCTTCGAATTGGGTTTTCTAGATTAGTCCCAAAGCTCTTCTTTTCCAGTAACTTGCACATTCTCTCTCTCGACTCTCTCTCTGTTGCAGTTCATTATGCTGACCTACCTTTTCATGTTGGCCTGGCTGGGAGTCACGGCCTTCACCTCCCTGCCAGTTTACATGTACTTCAACCTGTGGACCATTTGCCGAAACACCACCTTAGTGGAGGGAGCGAACCTCTGCCTGGACCTTCGTCAGTTTGGTAGGTGGATCTCTAACTAAAACAAGGCCTCGTACTGTCTTAGTCTAAATGACTGTGTCTGGAATATTGCAGATCACTTTGGAGCCATGATTACTTCTTCTAGCAAAGAGATAAATGTGTCACAGTATTCACTTTCAAGACATTCCTTTTAAATTCACATAAGTAGGAATTTAAGAGAGATTGGAAGTTGATCTCATAACATGAATATACAATGTGTGTGTTTGAACGGGCTGTCGAGTTGTGTTTCCTGGTGTTGGCATGAAATAATTGTGATGCCCTCAATCTGATTCCTTTGTACTTTTCTAGACTTGATGTGATGCTTGCATCTACTTTTTTCTTTAATTTTTTTTTAATGTTTATTTATTTTTGAGACAGAGCATGAACGGGGGAGGGTCAGAGAGAGAGGGAGACATAGAATCCGAAGCAGGCTCCGGGCTCCGAGCTGTCGGCACAGAGCCCGACGTGGGGCTTGAACTCATGAACCATGAGATCACGACCTGAGCCAAAGTCGGAGGCTTAACCGACTGAGCCATCCAGGTGCCGCAGTGCTTGCATCTACTTTTATTCTCCCATGATAAACTATACAATTTGTGAAATCTAGAGTGAAGACCATCTAATAAATACGTGTTGCACTGGTTTCTGAAATAAGGCAGAAAAAGTTAGCATATAATATTAGAAAATCAAAGAATCCTAAGCCAATCAACAGTCCTCTTTGGTTATTTTTGTTTAGGGCTAAAACCTCATGTGATAAAATGAGTTTCATACGTGTAGATGAGCTTGTGATACACGGATCCTATTCTGATGGTTTTTCCACGTTGACTTGTTTGTCAACAACTGTCACAACAATTCTACATAGTGGACGCTACTATCATCCTCTTTATAAATGACAAAACTGAGGCACAGAGAGGTTACATGAGTTCCCCAAGGTTATCCAACTAGTAAGTGACAGCACTGGGATTCGAACCCAGGCCGTCTGGTTTCGGAGTCTGGTAATTACAAGTCGGCACACAACTCTGTCCTGTTGACAGACGAATGTGGAGAAGTGGATCCAGTCGCGCCTAACCTATTTGGAATCCTAGTCCCCCGTTCATAAAAAAAACATGGCAGCTACAAAATTTACAAAAGACCTGGAGATCCACACGTTTGCATGGTTTTTTTCCCCAGGGACAGGCTATTAAAATCTAAGCCATGAACATCTGGGAATGCTCCCTAAGATTTTCTCTAATGAGGTCTCCACCTACTTCGGGAAAGCGGGGAACATTTCACTGGGTACTGTCCGCAGGCCTTGTGGCTCTTTGGGGGTGCTCTAGACAGGTTGTAGGGTACAGCACCACTGTCCAACCCAGCCAGCTGTATGTTCCAAAGCTGTGGCCCGCTCGCCATCCTGAAAGCCAGAATCCTGATCCTAATAAAAAGCAGCATCTGCTCGGTGGATGAAGTTCTTGGCAAGAAGACAGCAGAGGGAATATGGACAGCTCTTCTCCTGGAGAGGTTTCAATCTTGGAATCATGTCCCACGTGAACACAGGAAGAGAACGTCCGCGACAGCGGTTGGAGGCCACCAGAACAGCTGCTTGGAAAACGTGGCCCTCCTTTCAGTTCTTCCCCCTCGATGTCTTTTATTCTGCTGATCTGAAGATTGGAAATTGGAAGAGAGGTGACTGGTCTCTCAGACATGGTTGCCACCTAAAATACGGGCCACCTAGTGAAGTTTCAATTTGGGGTAAACAGGCAATTTTTTTTAGTAGAGTGTGTCCCAGATATTGTCTGGGCCACACTTCTGGTAGATGTAAACCCTGACGAGGGTTAAAGCTGCTCTTTGAACCTTAGCACTGCTTATGACATAGTTATCAAGATTTATTCTTTTTTTCAACGTTTTTTTTTTTTTTTTTTTTTTTT